ACATGGAAGTGGGGGTAGAGAAAGCAAATGGATAATGTAATGCAGGGTAGAGATTTGGTGGGAAAATGAGTATCTGGTTTTGAATCTCAGGAAAAGGCTAGGCAGAGAGGTGAGACAGGGATGCGGAAAAGAGCAAAGATCATTAACTAATCAAAACGCAGTTTTTTGTTTGTTTGTTTTTTTTCTGACAGACTTAAGCTATACTTCTAATTCTGTGGGAGCTAGCACTTTTCAATTTGTATTAGTCCATTCTCACACTGCTATAAAGAAATACCTGAGACTGGGTAATTTTATAAATAAAAGAGGTATAATTGGCCCGTGATTCTCTGCAGGATGTACAGGAAGCACGGCTGAGGAGGCCTCAGGCAACTTACAAACATGGTGGAAAGCAAAGAAGCAGGCATGTCTTACATGAGTGGAGCAGGAGGAAGAGGGCTGGGGGCAGCTACACACTTTTTACACAACCAAGTCAAGTGAGAACTGTATCATGAGAAGAGTACCAAAGGGGGAAATCCACCTCTGTGATCCAATCACTTTCTACCAGGCCCCACTTCCAAAACTGGGGATTATAATTTGACATGAGATTCGGGCAGGGACACAAATCCAAACCATATTATTCTGTCCCTAGCCCCTCCCAAGTCTTGTGTCCTCACATTCCAAAATTCAGTCATGCCTTCTCAACAGTCCTCAGAGTCTTAACTCATTCCAGCATTAACTCACAAGTCCACAGTCCAAAGTCTTATCTGAGAAAAGGCAAGTCCCTTCTGCCTATAAGCCTGTAAAATAACAAATGGGTTAGTTATTACTTCCAACATACAATGAGGGTACAAGCACTGGGTAAATACTTCTTTTCCAAAAGGGAGAAATTAGCCAAAAGAAAGGGGCTACAGGCCGCATGTAAGTTCGAAACCCAGCAAGGGAGTCATTACATCTTAAAGCTCCAAATAATCTCCTTTGACCCCACGTCTCACTTCCAGGGCACACTGGGGCAAGGGGTGGGCTCCTAAGGCCTTTGGAAGCTCCACCCCTGAGGCTTTGCAAAGTAAAGCCCCTGAGGCTGCTTTCATGGGCTGGTGTTCAAGCACGTGTGGCTTTTACATGTGCATGGTGCAAGCTGCTGGGTTGATCTACCATTCTGCAGTCTCAAAGATGATGGCCCTCTTCTCACAGCTCCCCTGGGTAGTGCCCCAGTGGGGACTCTGTGTGGGGGATCCAACCCCAGATTTCCCTTCCATGCTGCCCTAGTAGAGATAGAGATTCTCCATGAGGGCTCTGCTCCTGCAGCAGGCTTCTGCCTGGACATTTAGGCTCTTCTACACATCCTCTGAAATCTAGGCAGAGGCTCCCCAAGTCTTGACTCTTGCACTCTGAACATTGGCAGGCTTAACACCTCGTGGAAGCACCAAGTTTTATGGCTTGCACCCCCTGAAGCAGCAGCCTGAGCTGTATCTGGAGTCCTTTTAGCCACCCCTGGAGGCGGAGAGGCCAGGATGTGGGGAGCAGTGTCTTGAGGCTGTGCAGGGCAGTGGGACCCTGGTCCCTGTTCATGAAACCATTCTTCCTTCTTAGACCTCCATGCCTGTGATGAAAGGAGCTGCTGCAAAGGTTTCTGAAATGCCTTGGAGGTCTTTTCCCCTTTGTCTTGGCTATTAGCATTTGGCTGTTCTTTACTTATGCAAATTTCTGTAGCTGGCTTGAACTCCTCCAAAAAGGCCTTTTCTTTTCTACCACATGGCCAGGCTTCAAATTTTTCAAACTCATACACTTTGCTTCCCTTTTAAATATAAGTTTCAGTTTCAGGTAATTTCTTTGCTCATGCGTATGAACATAGGTTGTTAGAAGCAGCAGGCTATATCTTGAATGCTTTGCTGCTTAGAAATTTCTTCTGCCAGATATCCTAAATCATCACTCTCAAGTTCAAAGTTCTACATATCCCTAGAGCAGGGGCACAATGCCTCCAGGCTCTTTGCTAATGCATAACAAAATGACCTTTACATTAGTTCCCAAGAAGTTCCTCATTTTCATCTGAGACCTCCTTAGCTGGGACTTCATTGTCCATATCACTATCAGCATTTTGGAAACAACCATTCAACAAGTCTCTAGGAAGTTACAAATTTTCCTCAGCTTCCTGTCTTTTTCTGAGCCTTCCAAATTGGTCCAACCTCTACCTGTTACCCAGTTCCACACCCAAATTCAAAGTTTCAGGTATCTTTATACCAATGCCCCTTTCCTTGTTACCAATTTTCCATATTAGTTCATTCTTGCACTGCTATAAAGAAATACCTGAGACTGGGTAATTTATAAAGAAAAGAGGTTTAATTGGCTCACAGTTCTACAGGCTGTACAGGAAGCATGGCTAGGGAGGCCTCAGGAAACTTACAAGCATGGTGGAAGGCAAAAGGAAAGTAGGCATGTCTACATGGCCAGAGTCAGGCGGAAGAGAGAGAGGTGGGAAGTGCCACACACTTTTTAAACAACCAGATCTAGTGAGAGCTCTATCATGAAAACAATACCAAAGGGGGAAATCCACCCGCATGATCCAATCACCTCCCACCAGGTCCCACCTCCAACACTGGGGATTACAACTTGGCATGAGATTTGGGCAGGGATGCAAATCCAAATTATATCATAGTTCTTTCTGAAATGTGGCTCATGTAGCTTCCTACTATTTGAACTTTCCTCTTTTTCTCCTCATGTCTGCCTACCCGTTCTGTTCATATTTCACCGTCAGAATCTCTTTCTGGTTTTCTTAGTGACTTTCAAGATGTCCTCTTAACTAGGAGCAGAACCTGTCAGATACGCTAACATAACTTTATCTGCTTTCAAATTCTGTGACCTCTTATTGACTGTGAGCAACATATTTTAACTTCTGTGAGTGACAGTAGAGGAAAATTGTGATGAGCTGATGTCAGACTGAGTTTTTGGAAAGCAACTAATCCTCTCTGAGCCTCCAGGAAGACATCCTCTCTCTATCAAATGCAGACTTTTAGAAATAATACTCTCTCAGCCACATATCCCACCCCGTATTATTATCACATGCCATTACTGTCTGGTAGTTATTTATGTTCATATCATCTTGGCTAGATTATGAACTTTTAAAAGGCAAGCCTTCTGCCTTTTACCTTTATATTCCCATGCATGCTTTGTATGCTTAAGTGGTTAGTCATTTAATATATTTTGAAAGAGATAATGTATCCATGTTGTTAAGTTAAAATAATCCATGGAAGGCTTCTATTACAATGACTGGCATATAGTAGATATTTAGTTAATTATATTAGAGCACTCAGTCAATATGGGGAATTTTACCTCATTTCCTCCTCTTTAATTGATTCTCCCATTTCACATACATTGTTCTTTGACTGATTTTAGGAGCCTATTTATTTATCTATTTTTCATTTTTAAGTATTTTTTTGATTTACAAAGAAGTCACAAGACTAGCATAAGGAAATCCCACATTCCATGGATGTATGCTTAGTACATTGTATCAAGGAGGCACAAAACATCCCTTTACTGGTGGTGTTAATTTTGATCATTTGATTAAGGTGCCATCTGCCAGATCTTTCTACCATAAAGATACTATATTAGTTCATTTTCATGCTGTTAATAAAGACAAACCCAAGACTGGGTAATTTATAAAGGAAAGAGGTTTAATTGACTCGCAGTTCAATATGGCGGGGGAAGCCTCACAATCATGGCAGAAGGCAAATGAAGAGCAAAGTCATATCTTACATGGCAGCAGGCAAAGCGAGCATGTGCAGGGGAACTCCTGTTTGTAAAACCATCAGATTTCATGAGACTTATTCACTATCATGACAAAAGCACAAGAAAGACCCACCCCCATGATTCAGTTACCTTCCATTGGGTCCCTCCCACAACATGTGAAAATTATGGGAGCTACAATTCAAGATGCAACTTGAGTGGGGACACAGCCAAACCATATCAGATACTTTTTTTTTTTTTTGAGATGGAATCTCGCTCTGTCACCCAGGCTGGAGTGCAGTGGCATGATCTCAGCTCACTGCAACCTTCACCTCCCAGGTTCAAGTGATTATTCTGCCTCAGCCTCTGGAGTAACTGGGACTATAGGCACGTGCCACCACACCTGGCTAATTTTTCTATTTTTAGTAGAGATGAGATTCCACCATATTGGCCAGGCTTATCTCAAACTCCTGACCTCATGATTCCCCTGCCTCAGCCTCCTAAAGTGCTGAGATTAGAGGTGTGAGCCGCTAACACCCAGCGCAGATACTATGTTTTTCCATTGTAGTTCATAAGTGTCTGGTGGGGAAATACTGTAAATATCTTACTTCTCATCACGTTTTTGCTCTCTTAAGTTTAGCATCCATTGATAATTGTTTCTTGAAACAAATTATCATAAAGTTTACTGTGTAGTGACTTTTCTAGTCACATCATTTCTTCTATATCTATTAGTTGGCATTTTACCATAATAAAGAGTTTTTCCTTCCTCTTCATTTAGCTTTTTATTTATTTGTTAACTTACATTAGTATAGACTCATGGAATCTTATTTTGTTAAATTGATTACGCATCAGAATCATTATTTTGTTTGTTTGTTTGTTTTCTTAAATTGTACAGATGGTAAAATTGGATGGGTGGCAGGGATGGCTTTGAGTACTCCTGTTTCAGTTTGAGGGTGTGCCAAACAGCAGGCCCAGAGGATAAGCATTCATGTGGTTTACACCAGTTTAACAAGGACCAACATGAAAGAGAAAATAGTTGTAGATTACTCTAAAATATATTGTTTCCTCTCTGTTTCAGGAAATAAAAAGGGTCAGTTGGAGGTAGTTTAGTCATTAAGGCCACTACAACTTCCTCTCTTAACTCTTAGCAGCTGGAGATGTTTTGCTGTAGACACAGTTTGAACATAAATGGGAAAGGAGAGTCAGTTCACTATGTTGGCACAAGATGGCAGCAGTCAGCCATTGATTTTGCAGCTCAAGGCCTACAGATTTTAAATTAATGGTGTCTTTTGTCTTCGCAGGGACTTCAGTACTAGTGCTAATAACATTCAGATTGATAAAACCAAGCCTTTGTGGCACAACTATTTCTTATGTGGACTTAAAGGAATTCAGGTAAATTGGTTTATAAGACACTTACTACCAGTTGAGATTATCATGTGTATTCTGTCAGATTTATTTTATTTACTACATCTTTTTCATCTCCTTACAGTACTAACCGATGCTTCTGTTCTATTTTGCTAGTTTGTGTTTCAGAGAGTGGGGAAGATATGACTGTTTTTGGGGTAGTGTTCACAGGGGGCAGTAGTGGTTTTCATATAGCTGGCTTTTCATAAATAGGTGCATTTGACAAACATCTGTCTGGTTTTAAAATCTTTGTTTAAACATACCTTTGAGGATATGTTTTAGTACTATTATTTACATGTATACTTGGGATATATAGGGGTATACTGTAATAGGATTTAGAGTCAGCCCAGGTTTGAATCTGGGCTCTTCCCAGCTGTGGTAATTTAACCTCTTAAGTCTCAGATTTATCTGTAAAATGATGTCATTGCTAAACTGATGAAGAGTTGTTAAAAGAATTACATAAGGCTTGATAGTAGCCATTTAATAAATGGTAGCTAGTATTGTTATTGCTACTTCAGATGGGATTAAAAAAAGATGTAATGAAATGTATTAGTGTAAGTATTTTCCTAGAAACATTGAATAATTACTTTGAAAATGTCTAATGTTACATTAGAACAAGAACAAGAAAATAAAATGTTTTCACTCTCATAGTTGAAAAAGTATCAAGGACCAAAAGAAAATTGATATTTGCTGTTTTTAGAGCCACTTTTATATTGCAATAATTATTTTAGATATAGTGACTTGTATAGAATCACAGGTAGGACAATAAGCAGTAAATTTTGCCTTTGTGAGCTAAAAGTAAACAAACAAACTGACCGGTGTTTTAGAGAGCTTGTGTTCCTTACTGCCTGGCAGTCCTATTTGAAACTTTGTAATGAGCAGCTAGGACTTAGTGGCACGTCCATTACAGAAATACATCAAATTTATTTCTAACGTGTAGTTCTATACTGTAACAGTGGTGGTTTTTGTTCTTAAAGTTAATGAATTCATTTCTTTCTTTCTTTTGTGTTTTCCTTCCTCTCAGACACATGGTAATAACTTACAGGAAAAGTTATTGGCAGGTTTTAAATCTTCAGATCATCTGGCTTATATACATTAGTAGGAATTACAGTATTTGGAAGCATTTGCCTGGCAAATGCAATTTTAATCTTCCTTGTAACAACATGCCTTTTTGCAGCATATGGGTAAAGTGGCCTAAATAATGCATGTTGCTTTGTGTTATTTTTGAGCATTTCAGGTTTTAAAGCCTTCCTGTTTGGTTTGACAACTTATGTGCAAAAGCAAACTTATCCAATAAGCTTTTGGCAGAAAGATAATTTAAATGCTAGCCTGTTCAGAAACTTTCAGATTCAAATACTAGAAAGTTTCAGAGGATAATTCGTTTATATTAAATTGAACATGTTATCCTTTTGGGATAGAGCTATTACAGAATGTGGCATATACCCATTTGCATTTTGAATTTGTTATACGTTTTCATTTAAACATTGCATGATAAGTGCTTTTTTTTTTTTTTTTTTTTTTTTTTTTTTTTTTTTGAGATAGAGTCTTGCTCCGTGGCCCAGGCTGGAGTGCAGTGGCATGATCTCAGCTCACTGCAACCTCTGCCCCCTGGGTTCAAGCAATTCTCCTGCCTCAGCCTCCCGAGTAGCTGGGATTACAGGCGCCTGCCACCGCACCCAGCTGATTTTTATATTTTTAGTAGAGACGGGTTTTCACCATATTGGCCAGGCTGGTCTTGAACTCCTGATTTCATGACCCACCCACCTTGGCCTCCCAAAGTGCTGGGATTACAGGCATGAGCCACCACACCTGGCTGATAAGTTCTTAAGTATGATTCCCACTCAAGACACCCATGTTTGATCAGTTTATAGTTAAATATATTGTATTCTTCAAGTTTTTTTTTTTTTTAAACAAACTGTCTGATATTCTGTATGAAAGGGCATTGGCAACAGTACAGTTTCAGTTTATAATTTGTATTTCTGGAGGGAAATTTTTAGATGACTTGAAATCAGAAAGAGAAGTATATTCAGCTAAATTTCTTCTTAGTGTGGTATGAGAGTTTTGCTAGCTAGGACAGACAGATGAAACATTAAGGAAAAATTTTATTTGCAGAATTTTGTTGTTATTTTAGTTATTCTAGCTAGTTTATTGAAATTCTCCCTTGTATAATATGTAGATGAAATGCTTAATTAAGTAATAGTATTTCATATGTTAATCTTTAGTCATTTGAGTAATTTGCAAAGACTATGGTACTTTTTCTTGAGAAGGAGATAGACTTGAATTTATTTGTAAATTTAAACCACAAAGGTTATGATACGATATCATTCCAAAGTATCCTAGTGTTAGAAATTCGTGTAAGTATGCTAGAGCTTTCCATATTTAAATCAGAATCTGATTATTTCTTTGGGCTTTCCTATTTGTAGAAATAGAGTTTCCTTGACTTGTTTAGGGTCTGTATTCTCATTTGTGGCTGAATTCTAATTTCACTGTCTTTAAAGCTACCATATGGCTAAACTGTATCTATAAACTGTAGTAAAAATCTGGATTTTCTCATCTAGCTGGCATATTAAATCACAATGACAGTTTGCTGGCTCAGGTTTCTAACTGCAATGGAGAAGTTTTCAAACAGGAATCAGAGACCTGGGCCCTACTCTCATCTCCCTGTGGGTCATCTTGGGAAAATTTCTTCATCTCTTGGTGCCTAGGTTTTTTCATAAGTAAAACAGAACTGAGAAAGTTTGGAACTCTTTTTTTTTCAGAGAATCTTCTAAAGTAAGGCACTCTTTAGAAACAAGTCACTGCTTGGGGCTTGGACTTTTTTAATAACAGAATGCTGGAGATGTGCTGCACGGAGATTTAAATTACCTCATAGATAATTGTATATTTCTTGTCTTGCTACTTGGCAAGTTGAATTATAATTGTTTTATATTTTTTCCTTATTTGTTCAAATCAATTAATACTCAAGAAAAAGAATATTCAAAGCAATTTTATATTTTTTCCATATTCAAATCAATTAATATTCAAGAAAAAGAACATTCAAGGCAAGAAAATTAAAGGCATTTAAAGGAATTACCCTGTGGCCAAGAGTCGTTAAATAAAATGTCACGACTGAATTGCGCAAGTAGTTTCTATAACTATTATAAGTCTATTGATAGACTTTTGTTCTCTGGGGAATGAAGGAAGCTTTCACTACTCGTTGAATTCAATACTGAATTACTGTTGCTGTTTTTCCTTATATTCTTAGGAACACTTTGGTCTTACTAACCTGACTGGAATGAACTGCCTGGTAGATGGAAATATCCCACCAAGTTCTGGCCTCTCCAGCTCCAGTGCTTTGGTCTGTTGTGCTGGCTTGGTGACGCTCACAGTGCTAGGAAGGAATCTATCCAAGGTAACTATGTTTGATAGGAAACCTCGTAGAACCCTCTCCTTCTAAAATCATTAGCGTCCAAATCTCAGATCAGAATGCCTTCTTTGACTGAAAAACTGTCTTCTTTAAAAGGACTGCACATGTGGGTGAGCATTGTAACTTAACAAGTGATAAATCACTATAAAGTAGCTTATACCCTCCAAACAGTGCATGAATAGATCTGTGAATAACTGTATAAAAATACTTTGTATTGGCCTGGCACGGTGGCTCATGCCTGTAATCCCAGCACTTTGGGAGTCCGAGGCGGGCGGATCACGAGGTCAGGAGATCGAGACCATCCTGGCTAACACGGTGAAACCCCGTCTCTCCTAAATATACAAAAAAATTAGCCAAGCGTGGTGGCGGGCGCCTGTAGTCCCAGCTACTCGGGAGGCTGAGGCAGGAGAATGGCGTGAACCCGGGAGGCAGAGCTTGCAGTGAGCCGAGATCACGCCACTGCACTCCAGCCTGGGCAACAGAGTGAGACTCTGTCTCAAAAAAAATAAAAAGATTAAAATATTTTGTATTAAATATGGAATTTGAATGTATGGATATTGTTTTAGATCACCTCATTAACAAGTTAAATTTAGGGCAAGAAATTCTTCCCCTCATGGTTGAGACTGCTTATTTTCACCCAAAACCTTAAATTAAAAATTTGACAAGTAGTGGGTTACAAAGGTAAAGACTAGGTAATAAAGGAACTGAATATGCTAGCAGATTAGTCACAGAAATAAACTTTAAAATATTGTATTACAAAGAGGAAATGCTTATTTAAAGGAAATATAAATTGTACAAGAGGTCAGAAAGCCTCAAGTTTATAAGTTCACATAAATCTCTGACTCTGCAGTTTAGAGCAGGTGTGCTTAGCTTTAATTAATGCTTTAGCATTCTGGTTCAAATAAAATGTTATCATAGGTTCTTTTTACCCCATGTACATACACTACCAGGTTTACAGATGGTTTGGGCAGATCAAGAGAAAGGCAGCCACATGCTTAGTCTCTTTTAAGCATGTTTTAACTTTCAGTTTGAAAATTTTATATATAGGAGGAAAGGCAGAAATGAAGGAGAAAGCAAAGTTTCAGACAGAATCCTTCTTTTTAGCTGTCCTGTGTAAGTATACATTAATTAGCCCTTAGTAAGCAATGGCTGGTTGGGAGGGAAAGGGGGCTTACATATTATTATTATTTTTTGAGAAGAGAAGAAGCAAGGGACAGGAAGTCCATATGTAAAATGTGTTTCCCCTGGTACAACTTTTAATCTGATTTGTTTATTTACTCATTTGTTTGTTCATCATTCAACCATTATTTATTTAGTGGCTATTTTGTGCCAGATAATGTTCAAGCCATTGGAGATATAATAGGTATAGTCTCAACTTTCATTGTGCTTATAATCTAAAAGGGAAAAGAGACAAGTAAATAGGCAACTGCAATAGAATATAGTAAGTGGATAAGTAGTTTTCTATGGGAGCAGATATAACCCAGATTTAGAGAGCATAGGACATCTAAATGGAGCCACCAACGATTCAATGAATTGTGGATATTGATGGCATAACACTGATGACATCAGATAAGCATGTATTGGGTGGAGAGAACATCATGTGGAAATGTCCAGAGTAAAAGCAATCATGGCTTTTTGGAGTAACTAAAAAATGTCTCAGTATGGCTGAAGCATACAGCAATTTGGATAACAGAGCAGGAGATCAGATGCTGGGCCTTGTAAACTTTGTTAAGGAGTTTAGGCATCATCTTCATAGCAGTGGGAAACCATTGCAGGATTTTAGGAAGAGGGTAAGGTGTTCATATCTGTATTTTAGAAAGAGCTCCCTGGCTATATTACAAAGTCTGCATTTCAGGGTTTTAGCAGTAGGGAGATGATTTGGTCTAGAGAAGTAGCAATGAGAATGGTTAGAATTAGATGGATTCAAGATCTCAGAATCAGTAGGACTTGATCATTGATTGGGCATGGGAATGGGGAACAGCAAAGACTCAAAGATTATATTGGTGTCTGGCTTGGTATGATTCATTGGAATAAGAGATATGGGGGAAAAATAGGTTTGAGCGGAAGCCGAAATGTTGAGTGTGAGGAATTGTTGGGCGTACTGATCGAGTTATTTAGTATTTAGTTATGAAAAAAATATGAAGGTCAGGAGGAGATCTGGACTTGAGATGGTGCATTTGAGAATCATTAGTTTATCATCGTTTTTGAAGCCATAGGAGTAGATCAAGATACCTGGTGGTGGAATATAGGCGGAAAGATAAGGAAAACTAGAACAGAGCCCCAAGAAACATGAACATTTGAGGAATGGGCAGAGTAAGAGATGTCCACTGAAGGGATTGAGGAGTAGTCCAGTAAGTATGAGAGAAACCAGAAAGGTGAGGCAACAGCAAAGACAAAGAAGATAATGTTTCATGAAAGGAGTGGTAGTGTTGTCATATGCTTCTGAGAGGTTACCACAAGTTCTGAGAAGTATCCGTTGACTATCACAACAAAGAAGTTGTACAAAACTTTGGCAAGAGCAGTTTTAGATGGAAATGGGTTGAAGGGTCTATAAGGGGTAAGAAAGTGGTAAAGTTCAGTGGATACAAAAAGTCTGGCGATGCATGGAAAAAAATAATTTGGTATTTGGAGGAGGGTGTGAAGTCAAGGAATTCATTTCACTTTTAATGGGAGGATTGGTGAAACTTAGTTTTTCTATTTTTCTGGTGTTTTGATAATATACATATCTAAGAAACAGGAAGGAAAGAAGATAAAGAGAAACACTTGAACCCTTGGAATTAATTCTGATTGTCTGTTTTCAAAGTCAGAAATAGCAAATACATTTTTTATCAGAGCTATCTTACTGCAGTGCCTAAGCAAAAAGGGAACAATATGTATATTCTGGCTTTCTCAGCTAGTCTAAGTTATACTAACAATATTTATATTTTCTAAGGACTGAGCATAATTATTTGGAGAATTATTTTTTTCTGGAGTGAGACAGAATCTTGAATGAAAGGAAGTCTGTAATTTGTTCAGAGTCTTTAATTTAAATGCCATGTGATTTTACTCTTGTAAAAATCATAGAATCTAAGAACTCAAGGGACCTTAGAGATGAGCTAGTTCAAAATGCTCCTTTTACTGATGTATTAGTGTTACCATAGGAAACAAATGACATGTTAGGTATAACTGAAGAGAGTTTAATAAAGAGACTTTTACAGAGGTGTGGGTAAGGTCAAGGGAACTAATTAGGAAGGGTTCTCTTGTGAAGCTGGAAGCCGTTATATTTTAGGAGCTGCGGATATAGAGTAATGTTGCCAGAAATGCAGCAAGGCAGAGAAAGAATGACACAGATGAAAATGGCAATGAGTGGGAATAGTTGAGGGGAATTCTCTATAGAGGTCAGCCTCTTGGGGTAGGGGAAGTGTGAGAATAGAGGGACAGAGGGACAACCGAAAATAACCAGCCTATTTGACAAGGACACTAAGTCCCACAACAGATTGGTGACTAAAGCCTTTCCTATTATTTTATACTCAGTAAACCCCATTCAGTTGCAGACAACAATTACTGCAGATGGGATATGATAAGTAGATGTAGAACTTGTTAATTCATTAATACACTAAATGTTGCATATCTGAAACCAGAGAACAGTATGACTAATCACCCAGAGAATCTGGAAGCCAGAAATTATGAATCAGAATGTTGCTAGTACAAGAGAGTATGATGTGGTAAAAGATCTATGAAAAAAGAAAATCCAGAGACTTCTGATTTCAAGATGTCAGGATAAGACTTATCTAGTCTTTTTCTGTATCCCTAAATTAATCTTATTAATCTTCTTTTCTCAAAAATAATTTCCAAACAACAGGGAAAATAAGAAAAGGAAGCACAAGCTTTATCTTCGGTAAACCAAGGAGACATAAATAACCATAAACCACAAAATACAGAGATGGAAAGTGGATAGAGGAATGGTACATGACTTAGCAGAATGGAGAAAGGTCAGAGCCAAGTGCCTGTGGAGGGAGTTGTAGATGGAAAGGCAGCTGACTCATCCCACAGCTCTCTGGCAAGCCTTAGGAAGAAAGCAGGGTAATATGATGGGTGAGGATTTATCTGAAAGCCTTTATGAGGACTATTTAGACCCTAAAAGGCCTCTCTTCACTTGGGACCATTTCCCCCTACTGTTGCAGGAGTCTCTAGAGAAACCACCAGAGATCATTTGTACTTGGGGGCACTGAGCACTGAGAAAGGCAGGATGAGAAAGACTTGAAAACCGGGAGATTAGAGGACTTCTGCATCTGAACAGTGAAATCCTTAGCTTCATTCTTCTAGTCATTACTGGCACACTGGCAACCTCACCACCCTGCACTCCAGCAGGAATGTTGGAGGATCCTTCTCAAAGGAAATTGAACCATCCCAGAGATGGTTCATACAGATACGGACATTTGGTGACCCCCTTCTCCAGCTCCTCTATGACCCTGTTAGAAGCCCATTTATAAAGCTTCTAATAAGCTTTTTAGTGACTCACTCTTAAATATGATAGGGCATCAACGGATAGTAAGATTTTGGAAGAAAACCTCCAAAATGAACCAAACAAACAAAAAAACAGAAAACAGGAACCCAGAGGAAACAGAGACAATGCTGAGAGCATAAGAATGCTTCAAAGACATGATGTCCTCAGAGAGATAAAAGAAAATGTTAAGTCCTTAAAAAGTAAGAGTGTTACTTTTTTTAAAAAGGAGCAAACAATAAGATAGAGTTTTTGCATATTAAAAATGTGACAGCAAGACAAAATTTAGCAAAAAGATTGCAATTGCTGGGCATGGTGGCTCGTGCCTGCAATCTTAGCACTTTGGGAGGCTGAAGCAGGAGGATTACTTGAGCCCAGGAGTTCAAGACCAGCCTGGGCAACACAGTGAGACCTTTTCTCAAAAAAAGAGAACAGACTGGAAGAACTCTCTGATATGGTAGGGAATAAAAGAGCTGGACAATAAGAGAGAAAAGCAGGAAAA